CCCCCCCCCAGGGGGGCATTAGTGCAGCAGATCGCGCTTGTTCCTTTTCCACCCCTCTGCTATGCCGTGCGGGGCGCCGTGTGCCTGTCCGGCCAGGTATTCTGCCGCTCGCCCCCATCCGCAGGGGGATAGGACAGTGCGGCATGATTCGCCTGTCGCGGGCTGCAGGCGCCTGAGAAGCCTCTGGAAGCGGGAGGGGGCCAGGCAGGCTGCCCCAGGGCTGCCGGGAGAGTCCCATGGGCCGGAGGGCTCGGGGCCCCCGGCCTGTCGCGCTTCGGCCAAGCCGGAGGCCCCCGCCTTGCCCCGGCGGCCACACAGCCGGAGCACCGTCGCCACCCCGCCTCAGCGATGCCCTCCCCGCTGTCGTTTGCTCTCCAGTCGGAAGCGTACATGCCGGGTCGTCGTTCCCTGCCCTTCAGGGGGCCTCCCTGACGAGCCTGCCCTCCCAGCCCGGCTCCCTCGTCACGGGGGGCCTCCCTCCTGAGGACGAGCAGCCCGTGAGCCCGCAGGGCCTGCACCACCTCCACTCCGCCTATCGAGTCGGTAAGCACGGCTGGGTGCTCGGCTGCGCTGGCCGCTGCTGGGGCGGGGGGCGGGGGGCTGCTCCCTGGCGGGGCTGCCCGGGCAGGCTGCTGCGTGGAGGAGAGCTGAGGCCGCCTGCTGGCCCTGGGGGGCGTTGCCTGCGCGAGCCCTGTGGCTGCTGGGGCTCCCTCCCCACACGCCTGGCCCGGCAGGGTGCCCTTGCGGCTCGTTGTTCTCGGCTGGACGTGAGGCGAGTGGTCTGGGGTGGGCTGGAGCGCTCACTTTGGCACGACTGTCGCACGGCGGCCCCCCCCCCTGCAGGGGGGCGTGATGGGGTGGCCGGCTCCGGGGACTGGCCCAGCGGCTCCCGGACTCTTCTCCAGCTGATACGGCTGGGGCGCTCCTGGCGCCTGGGCCGATCTGTCAGCTCCCAGTTGTGATCTTGCGCCTCGTGCCGGCAGAGGGGCAATGCTGGCCAGCCCTCGGGCTCGAGGGCGCCCTCAGTTTGCCCGCGGGACTCTGACGGCGTTCGCTCTCCCTCTCCTGCAGGGATGCTGGCCCTGGAGATGCTGGGCCGCCGAGCCCACAATGACCACCCGAACAATTTCTCGCGCAGCCCGCCCTACACGGAGGATGTGAAGTGGCTTCTGGGATTAGCTGCCAAATTAGGTAAGGGTACAGAGAGAAATCCGCGGGTAAGGCCAGAAGGGAAGCTGAATCGCAGAACGGCAGAGGTGGGAGGGGCCAAGCAGGCCCCCCCGCTGGCGCCCCCCGCTCACTTCTCGCAAAGTGCCGCGAGCTCCGCCTGGGGGTTCTTGTATAACGCGGTGCCTCGTGCCTCCACGCGCTGCCTGTGCGCCCCCTGGGCCAGCGCTTGCCTGTGCATGCGGCACCAAGGCTTCCGGCACTCGGCTGAAGGCCGTCCTGTTGAGCAGGTCTTGAGCAGCGTGTGGCTGTCCGGGGCGTGAGCTAGGACTCCTGCCCACCCTCACTGCTATTGCACTGCCGAGGCTGATGGGAGTTGTGGGCAGAGGTTGCGAGAGTCGGTCTGGGGGCGGATCTCTGTCGGACTCCCTGGGCAAGTTTCCCCAGACTCTGGTTCGCCTCGCAGAGGTCCAGAGCAGGACTGCCTGGTGAGCCTGCCCCATCTTCACGGGGCGCCTGCTTGGAGTGGAGCCTGCCCCCTCACCAGGACCAGTCGTGGCGGCCCCGCCCCTGCTGAGGAGGGCTGGCTGTGCGGGGCGGCTCCCGGGCCCCCCCAAAAGCATCCCCGTCCCTGCACAGCCAGGCCTCCTCTCGGCTCGGCTCGGCTCGGCTCGCCCTTGACGCCCACAGAGACGTGGCTGCCTGGGCGAGTGGCGGCTGCTCCGCACGACGCTGGGCATGTGGGCTGTGCCCCCCCCCCGGGAAGCCCGTGCGGCCTGCGCCCCCTGCCGCCCCGGGTGCAGGGAGGTGCCTGCCCCGTGGTCTGAGGTGCCCCTCGCTCCCACAGGGGTGAACTACGTGCACCAGTTTTGCGTCGGCGCAGCCAAGGGCGTCCTCAGCCCCTTCGTGCTGCAGGAGATCATCATGGAGTCCCTGCAGAGGCTCAACCCGGCCCACGTCCACAACCACCTGCGCACGCCGGCCTTCCACCAGCTGGTGCAGCGCTGCCAGCAGGCCTACATACAGGTACGTGCGCCTTCCCGCCGGCCCACTGGCCGCCCGGCGTTTCCGCACTCCCTCCCACAAGGGGGCCGGCTCCGTCTCGCCAGTCCGGAGGCCTCGGCCCCGCCTGTCCAACGTGAAAGCCAAGCTGGCGCCCAAGCAATTATGGGCGGGTCTGTCAGTCAGAATATTTATTTACTGAACCTGTTTGGAAGCTGCCTGTTAGCATCACACTCTCTGGGCAGTTATTAAAATGAAAGTACCAATAAGTAACATAAATAAAATAATACAATTAAAATATAATAAGTAAACTGGATAAAATCACATACGCACGGTCAAATGAAAGCAAACCTCAAAACCCGTGCGAATGCGCATAAACGGGGGCAGTGCAGCGTGCCATCCAGTGCTGTCTCCCAGCTGGAGGGGAGGTTCAGCACCAGCAGCACTTCCATCTTGTCAGGATTGGGCCTGAGCTTATTGGCCCCCAGCCAGTCTTCTAGTGAGTCCGGACAGTGACTGAGGACTGAGGCTGCCACGCCTGGGCCAGATGGAAAGGGGTGGGGCTGGGGGTTGTCGGCATGTTGGCGCCACTTCAGTCCGGAGGGCCTCTCCCAAGGGCCCGGGGGGCAAAATGGAGCCCTGTGGTGCTCCCAGGCGTCACAGTCGTGGCCCAGAGACGCCGCTCCTCCGCCCCACCATCTGGAGAAGGTCCCCCAGGCGGGGGTGGACACAGCATCAGGAGCTGCAGGGGGTGCAGGAGAAGTCATCCCACGGGGCAGCCGAGCCGGTCTCTGTCCCCGAACCAGGCCCGAAATCTGACTGAAATGGATCAAGAGAGCCTGTGGCTCCTGGCGGCCACCCGCTGGACCCCCTTGCCCAGGAAGGGGACGTGGGCCGATGGCCTGCAGTTACTCACGTCGAGGCCTCCAGGTTAGGTTTCCCCAAGTGGTGGAACACGGCTGGTGCCACCCCCTCCCCCCCCGGCAGAGGGAGACATGTATGGCTCCAGGGCCCGGGCGGACTCCCTTCCCAGGTCTCCCAGGAAGCCAGGCTAGGCAAGGATCGCACAAGCAGGTGGGGGCTGGACTTGGCCAAGCATCTTGCCCACATCATTGGGCCGCAATGGACCGGGTGGTGCCCTGGACACCTCCAAAGCAGCACCGCAGTCGGAGCAGACATGGGCAGGCTGCCGAGGGCCCAGCGGCTTCTCTTTTAGGGCTGTCTCTTCACGCCTGCTGCTCTGCTTAGTTAGTGCTGTGTCTCTGCACCCCAACCCCCGGCCTCTTAAATTGGGGGAGAGGGTCTTCCTTTCGCCTTCCGGATTTGTCCACAAGCGGAGGTCTGGCCTTCAGCACCACTTGTCCTCAGAGTGCCCCAGCCACATGCCTGCGAGGAGCCTGTGTGTCCCGGGCGGGCCTTCACTGGCTGCGCCCCACCGCTCCTGGCAGAGATGCCGCAGCAGTGCGCGTGCTGCCAGCCGTGTCCGTGGGGGCGCCTTGCCCCCTCCCCGGGCCTGCCTCACACGGGCCTTGCTGAGACCTCGGGGCTTGGCTCTCTGTGAGGGGGTCGGGGGCAAACTGGCCGGGGCCTCCAGAGGAGCCCTCCCAGGCTGCTTCCTTCCACATGCTTTTCGCCTGCCCGGGTCGTCGTGGCGCCAGTGAGGCTGCGCAAGACGCGCACCACCTCAGCCCCGTCTCCCCGGCCTTCCCTTCCAGTACATCCACCACCGGCTGATCCACCTCACCCCGGCGGACCATGATGACTTTGTGAACGCCGTGCGCAGCGCCAGGGGCGCCTTCTGCCTGACCCCCATGGGCATGATGCAGTTCAGCGACATCCTGCAGAACCTGAAGCGCAGCAAGCAGACGAAGGACCTGTGGCAACGCGTGTCCCTGGAGATGGCGACCTTCTCTCCGTGAGGCGGAAGGTGGGCTGCTCCCCGGCCTGAGCGTGGCCTGCGCCCTCCTTCCCGGCGGGGTCCCTTTGGCTTCTGCCGTCGGAAACCACTGCTCCGGTGTATTTATGCCATGACATTCCTCTTCCATGCAGCTGTGGTCGTGCTCCAGTCCCCTGTTCTCTCCTCCCTGGCAGGCGGAGCCAAGAAGGCTGTTCTGGGAGTGCGAGGAAGTGTGCACGCGTGTGGGAGTGTGCGAGGCACGTGCCCGTGTGAGCGAGGGCGGCACTGCCCGCTGGATGCTTGGTCGGTGCTTTCAGCCCCTTCCCGTGTGACGGATGATCGCGTGTGAATGCATGTTCAGGGGAGATGGTGGAGCCTGTCTCTTTAAAATATTTATTTTGGCATTTATAAATATGTATACTACTTTCTATAAGGTTCTGAAAACAGTCACTCATCACAGGTCAGGGGTGGCAGGGCGGTCTTTGCACACCCGGATGTCTCCGTCGCCCACCCTCCCTGCAGCAGTTGCGAGGGGCCGCCTGGGCCGATGCAGATTGAGCTCCCTTGGTGGCCGCTGCCCATGTGCCCCGGCTGGCCCGCCCCACCCCGCTTGAGCCGACCGGCTCCCGGACACTGGGGGCGGGCGGGCCACTGTCACTGCTCTGCTTAGACGGTGGCCCAGAGGATCGTGTCATCGAGACTTCGTAGGATGTTCTAGCCATGGCTGTTCTGAGTTGTACAGTCCTGTTAATTTGGCTCTCCTGTAATCGATTTCTTACTCCTTGTTTCAGTTTCCAGATTAAAACACTCATTTTCTTAGCCTGCCTCTTCTCCACACTTCTGCTGATCAAGCTGAGAACATGATTGAACCTGGAACGAAGAGTGCCAGCCCTTTCACGCAGGCGCTGGTCTCCAAGTGGCAGGGTTGCCGGCTCGCCACGGAAGCACGTGGTCCTCCAGCCAGAGCGTGGCCACGATGGGTGGGAGGCGGGGAGGCCGCGCCTCGTCCTGGGCAGCCGGGCGCCTGTGCCGTTTCCAACGAGGCACTTCCGGGAAGCCCGTGCTGGGCACAAAGGCAACCGCTCACCGCTGGGTGTCCCCGGGCAGCTGGGGTCAGGCCCGCCTGGCCGCTGCGGCTGCTGCCTGTGCCTGGCTCTCGGGCTCGGGTCTGTGGCTAGGAGGAATGACCCTCCTGAGTGTGTTCCCCCTTTCAGCAGTGATCTGAGTCTGTGGCCTTAACAGTCTCTCTTCGTGGCTGTTCGATTCACACAGTTGCCTTTAGTAAGGGTACGAGCTTTCTGGTGCTCCGAGGTCTACTCACTGTCTGCCCGTTAGCCAAACCCTCTGGGATGCTCGGCCCACGGAAGCCGGAAGCGGCTCACGCAGAACAGCCCTGCTGCAGCCATTGAGATCCTTTCTCGTGCTCTTCTCTACGTGGAATAATGCTGACTTTTCACACAGTTTCCTCTCCCTGTATAAACAGATGGGGCCTGCCTTGAGGGCTCCCCTCCCCTCCCCTTCCCTCCCTCCCCGTGTGTCCTGCCCACCCACCTTCTGGTGAAAAGAGACGGCTTTCCCGGATGTGTTGCTGGCCTTTCTCGGGGAGGCCTGGCTGGGGGTGGTGGTGGGGAATCTTTCCCAGTGGGTTATTTTGGGGTGCTGCAGCTCAGGGCTGAGGGTGGAGTGGCAGCCACCCGGGGGAAGGCTCCCCAGTTAGCCGCGGGCCCAGTCCAGTGTTCTTTGGAGGCTGGGAGCCTCTTCCTTTTGATGGGTGGCAGGGGCCACGCAGGCAGCCAGTGGGCTCAACCAGGCTTCCTTGCAGAGCGCACCCGAGTGGCCTCGGGGCTGGGGCTGGATCGCCCGCCCCGTGTCGGTTGCTGAGGGGGACGCGCTGTTGGGAGTGGATCAGGACGACCCATCCGCCAGGCCGCTCTCCTCTGGCCCCATCCATGTGGCACTGCGCACTCGCGATGCAGTCGGGGTTGGTGCTCCGAAGGTGGAGGAGCTCGGCGTGGCACTGCCGTGGACAGAGCAGTGGCTGGGTAGCGCTGGACTGGCTGGTGCGGGGAGCCTGTTCTGAGCAGGCTGGCTTCTTTCTGTCGGGCTGCGTGCCAAAGGTTGCGCCGCTGCGTTTGCTTTCAGTGTCGTGGCCACTGGCTCACACGGGCTCACGACTCATTTGCAGTTCCTGTGAAGCCACTGGGAAAGTTTGCGCGCCGCTTTGAAATAGGGGACCTCCAACACGCCGATGACACCCAGCCGTGTGGCTTGCGGCCACTTGACCCCAAGCAAGCAGGTGAAACGGTTGAGCTTTGTTTGATGGTGGGCTGCTTGGGGGTGAGCAAGCTGGAGGCCGGCCCAGACCGAGGTGTTGCTGTCCGTCGGGAGCGTGGCCCCCTGCCCCCGCTGGAGGGGGCCGCCTTCCCCCCAGGACCAGGTCCATCGCTTGGGAATGCTCCTGTGTCCTTGATTTTCCGGCCGCGGCAGTGGTGAAGCGCGTGTGTGGGTTGTGCTTGGCGCCCCCTTCCCGCGTTAGGGAGGTGGCGACAGCGGCCCGTGTGCTGTGCTGCGTCACGCCTGGACTTCCATGTCACGCGCCGTCTGGAGCCTCCCTGGACGGTGTCTGGGAACCTCCGAGGATGCAGACGGTGGCAGCCTGGCTGCTCAGCAGATCCCATTATGGTAAGGAAAGCCCTGCACTGGCTGTGAGTTCCTGTATGGTTTCGGTTCAGAGTGCTGGCTCTAATCTTTGAAGCCCTAGTCACCCCAGGACCTGGCTTGGCTATGGGGTTTCCTGCTTTGCTTTAAGCTGCCTCATTACAGATGACAGGAGAGGCCCGTGAAGGGACACTGCGACTCACAGAGCCGTTTGTCTGGCCCGTCAGAAGGGGCTTTCTTCCGTGTCTCTCAAGATGTGGAGAGCCTGGAGAACTGTCTCTCCTCGCCTCCTTTTGGCTTTTAGAAAGGATGTTGCCACACATCTCTTTCATTTAGCCTTTTAAATTATGAAGTTGTAATTCTTTCCTATTTCACTGAGTCGGAAGTTTTTTATTGTTTTAAGATGTTCATGTTGGAAATGGTTGTGCAGTGCCTTGATGGATTTTTAGCAAGCAAGGCAGTATATAAATGTTTAATAATAATATATTTCTCTTTAGAACAACTTTTCCATTTCAGCATCTCATAATCTAGTCCTAATATATGTCAAATTAATTACAAAGCAAACCAAACCAGTGTTATTTAACACATGCAATGTATTAAACATCTTTTAAAAAACCCATTTACTAAATTTATATCCCATGTTTCTATTAAAAATAGTGCTGAAGGCAGCTAACAACAAAAACACAGATAAAAAACTAAAGTGTAATTAAAACACACCAGCTAACACATCTACTTTAGCAAAACAAGTCAGTTTAAAAGCCAGAACCCTGTCGAAATAAACCTTGTTTTCCTTCTCAAGGAAGGTCAACAGGCACGGCACTAACCCCATGTTTCCCTGGCAGTGGACCAGTTCACGTGAGGTGGTGGGTTGTTGGACCAACAATGGGAAATGGTGTGTGTGGCCATTATGTTGAGTATGTAACCCACAACTGGTGGCTGCAGTATATTGTCCAAACGCAGCCATTGCTGGTTGAGGGTTAAACAAGCCTTGCGTTACCGGAACACTAACATGGGGTTACTCGAGGGTCTGTACCCTTACCCAATCCACGGCATGTGCACGAGGACGACCCATTCCACCTGCACTTGTCCCGGTTGAGGGGGCTGCGGACTCAAAGGGGCCGCTACGCACACTGCCATTTCCCGTGGGTTGAGTGCCCAACCGTGAGCTCATCTCGTCATGTGAACCAGGTCGGTCCTTCCTGGAGCGGCATCTGAGAGGTGCCCCTCATGGAACGCTCTGGGAGGGAGGGAGGGAGGGCGGGAAGGCTGGGGCCAAGCATCTTTCATCCTTAGCCAGTCCGTGACCGACATTAGACCTGACGGAGAACTTCAACAGCTTTGTTGGATCCAAATAGACAGGAGAACTAGCATTAGGCGTTAAATCTCAACACGCATCCATTCCACTTTCTAGTGCTTCATGCACTCTTTGCCGCTTGCTTTGCTCCACTTTTTGCAAAGGAAACCAAATCTTCTGGAAGGTGTGTCCTGGCCCATTGAAGTGGCACTAAAGAGGGAACGTGGGAGGTGTTCGTCCCACTAATTGGCTAGCCATGGATTTATTCCATTCATTGCACCAGGGGGCGGGGGGAGATGGCTGCGATTGCACCCTTGTTCCCTGCCTGAGGGTGCCCACCTCCCCCCACCCCTCCGCACGATCGCTGGGTGGGGGGGAGATGGCCATGATCTTTGTTGTTATTTGTCATTTTGCTTCAAATTTTTGTGGGTAAAAAAAATAGTTGCAGAATGTATTAACCTTATTTACGTTGACCCTTATGGGGAAATTTGACTTGGCTCATGACCAATTTGGGTCATGACCAGAGTCCTGGAACGGATTGTGTCCATGAGCCTAGGTACCACTGTACTTTTCTAATAGGAGAAAAGCCTGAATCTTTCAGTGAAGGGCCATGGCACACAGCTGGAATTGGTTAAAAAAATCTGTACATCCCGGGAAACAACCCTCACAAAAGGACCCAGTGAAGTGTGTCCAGGCTCTTGCAAAATGCGCCCCTGTAACAAATGCAATAGCACGAACTTTCAAGACCTGTGGGCATGTGTGTATTTTGATGATTTGGCTTCAGAAAAATCTTTCCCTGCTTCTGGGACTGGGCACTGTTTCTTCGTGCTGCCAGACACACTTCTCCCTGGCAAATGTTAATTGCTGTGGGGCGACTCCTAGGCTGAGCATGTTAGTTGGTGTGGAGGTCGAGAAGGCACGGCTCTACCGTGCCAGGACAGCCACGTCCTTGGAAGAGTCAGTCAAGTTTTTTCCTCTCTCTTTTTCTCCGAAGATGGAAACCATCAATATTTGCTATCAGTATCTTCTCCAGTAAAAGTACAATGTTGTATGAATTAGTTTCATTTACTAAATTGCTGCTGTTGTGACAGGTAGGTCTGCAGCCACCCTTGCCAACATGATTAAAGGAGATGGCATGACCCGATGCCATTTCAAAGGGTAGGCCAACCGCCCAGAAAAGGCCAAGAAGCCCTGCGGTGAGTCTTTAATCCCGGGAACCACTCGACGAGGGCTGTAGGGGTGCACTGCTTTGGAAGGTTCAGGTCACCTTTGCCCCTCTCACTATGCGCCAGTTGAAAACGTGAGGTATTGCCTGATCCTGCCTAATCTTGGAAGCTAAGATTAGGGTCAGCCCCGGTTAGAATCTGGATGGGAGACGAGTCCTGCTTGAGCCAGAGGGTTGGACCCAGTGGCCTTCTAGGCCTCTTCCAACTGGATGATCCTATGCTGGGAATGTTACATTAATTTAAAAGTAGCACTCAGAGCAGCTATGGAGCAAAAAAGGGGAAAACATCGCTTGTATAATATTCCCGCAGGAACTAGAGATCACGGTCCAAATAAAGCACCCTTAAGGGGAGAGGGTGGCAGATGGAGCCTAAGAACCCCAAGGCCCACATGCTGTTCACTCAGTGGCCACTCCGTGACCTCCTTGGGCCCCACAAGCCCCCCCCCCCCCATGTTCCTCAGCAACAGCCTCTGACCCGGGGACAGCCCTTGGCGTGACTAGCAGCCCTTGACAGTCTTGCGTGTTTCTCCAGTTCCCGTTTTAAAGCTGCTCATATTGTTGGCGATCGCTACATTTTGGGGAAGTTGATGTGCTGTGAGCCCGTTTGTTCTGTGATCTGTCCTGATTCACCCGATCAGCATC